CGACGCGACAATTTGCAAAGCAAACGACAAAAAATGGAATAGTTTTCGAAGCACTCCTCCGGAATGGAACGGAATGGAATGGAGTGTAGTGGAGTGGTGGTGGAGTGGAGTGGAGCGAGGTGACGCCGACAACAAGCAAAGCCAATTACCGTTTTTAATTATTTGTAAATATTGAAAAAGTCGGCTGGACTTATTGCTTGGCGCCGCAACAACAGTAACAACAAAAGCAGAAGAAAAACCTTATCGATTTGGCAAAGCAGTTCAACAGGTGCGGCCGTCCCGGCCCTCAGCGGCCAAAGTGCGAACGTACCTGGGGTACATGAGTGGGTGTGAGTCTGTGTCGTATCTGTGTATCCCCCCGTTATGTGTTCATATCTAATCAAAAGGTCTTTACATTTCGCGTTCCAAATACCAATGGAATGAACAATTGCAAGCAGAATAGATCGATCTTGACAACCTTGTTCAGTTTTTACCCATTGGTACCCAGATACTGAGATAAGATTGATAAGTGCGATAAAAAATAATAAACAGATAGATACCGATCTAGCACGAATTAATTCGGTAACTTTAGCAGTAAACATTTAATTTAAATGTTCACAAATCATTAAACTGAACTTCAATATCTCCCACTTTCATCTCTTCGTAACTGAGAAAAAATAAACTTTCTTTGTCTGCGTCAAAGGAGATTTCTATCTGCTGCCACTTCACATTTGAGCAATTTCTCAGAGCCAAGCAAAAGTCTTGCCAAAAAAGCAGACGCGTGGGCCATAAATAAATAAAATCAGTATATATGAAGGGCACTTCATATGGAAATTGAAAATGTGCGCAAAGTACAACAAAACGAGTTGGGATTGCTTTTTACGAGTATTTTGTGAGTAATGTCTGGTAAATGTACATGCGATTTGGGTGTATTCGCATTCATTCATACATTCATTTATGGCTTCCCCCTTTGGCCGCTGTTTATTATTTATTATTATTATTATTTTGTTTTTACAAAGTGGGCGTGTCGAATTGCGGTAATTTATTAAGTGTTTTTCTTTCCCACTCTGTTTAATTGCCGCTCAGATGATGATTTACTAGTGTCTTTGTGCTTTGTCTTCGTCTTTCCTCTCCACGCAAAGAGCTCTGACTTTCACCTCCAGTGAAATTACGGCCTAATGACTAAACATTTCTTTTAATTAGAAGACTCATCTCTGAGATGGGACAAACAACAATAACAATAGCGGAACAGGAAGAGCTTCTTCAACTTTTTTCTTTGTTCTTTATTTAATGCTTTTCTGCTGTATTCAGTACACAAAAATGACATTCAAAATGTTGATCCGACACTTTTAGAGAGATTAAACTTGAATCATTCTGTATTCCGCAGGGTGTTGGACATTGACGGATGGGTCACCTTCTTAGAAGTGAATTTCTGTGCATAAAATATTCATTATACATTTTCTTGTAATTTATAAACTTTCCAAAAAACCTTATTGGCAAAGCTCCCCCCCATGCCCCGTTATTTTGACATTTTGTGGCAGCTTCTTGTCGAACCTTTTTTGGGATACGCTGACTCACTCTGCAACCTGGATGCTACATGCAACGTTGCAACACGTTGCAGCGAATTAATTTATCAGCATTTACCGCTACAATGTCAACGCTACAGTAGAAGGGGGATAGCGCGAAGGAGAAGCTTTCGAAGAACTTTTCGCAGCATTAAAAGGCAATAAATTTGTTGGACCAACCAGCGACCGCTGGCCTGGCCTGGCTTGGCTTGGCTTGGCTTGGAGGTCTGTGGACCAACTTCCAAGAAGCTGGAGCGCAACTTGATATAGCCAAACATTTTTGAATACCAAAGCCGACAATTTGTATGGGACTTGGTGTGTGCTGAAGAAAAACCTCTGCGCCGAGTCCAAAGTTTGATTTATGCGTTGCGATGTTCAATGGGCGATATGGAACACAAACCGAACGGAATGGAACAGGCCAGGCCAACGGCAACTGGCCAAGGAAGTTAGTTCGTTGCCTCAGAGTCCGGGCCCCTCTGTCAAATTTCCATGGCCCAAACGGCCAGGCACGACTCCCAAAATGCGATCGGTGGCCTGCCAGTCTGCCTGCCTGCCGGTTAAATGCAGCTAAAAACATAAATTATAGACCAGCGCTTAAGACTAGAAACAAAAACTGTGCTCGAAAAACATAACTAATCAAAAAAGTCTTGTTACTGTCTGTGTCCCTTGCACTTCCCAGCAGCTTCTCCTTTCTCTGTTTTTTTCAACACTTAGCAAAAGTCCCATGCGAATATTTTCCTCAGTGCCACCGCGTTGGGGACTTTTATTCTCTGCCGCTCGTCGGCAACATGTTGCCGCGTCAGAGCTGCGCCTTTGTCTCGTAAATGTTCAACATTTGTATTATAAAACCAAGCTCTGGGTCTCGTTCCCCCCGCTGCAGCTTATTTCTCACACAATGCGAGTGCGATTTATTTGTATGCACATTTCGAAGCAGAAATTGATTAATTACGGATACAAAAGTAATCGTACAATGCAAAGCGGAAGAGCTGCACAGAGACCGATTTCTTGTTCGTTACGATTATTCATAGATTCATTTGTTGTATTCATTTTTCACGCTCAATGTTTTTATTTGTGATTATATTTTTATTACACAAAGCAAGCCACACGAATCGAGTTTTTGTAAGACACGATTCCTTGATTGTAATGTTATTCTAGTTATTGTTATTCTGAAGGTTTCTGCATTATCTGGCTGACACGTCCCTGACACCACTTGTGGCAGTGCTAGGGTACTCATAAATCGATTAATCGCTCGTTTGACTCGATTAAGTTCTGTAAAATCTTACAAAAGTAGATTCAATTGTCTAAAGATTGCATACCACCCATGCGGATTAATGTGGCTTTCATTTCGCACGTTATTAAAAATATTCGAAATGACAGTTGGGCAGGGAGAGTAGCGCCATGTTACGAGTTGTCTCTCCGTCACACTTAATTGCTGTCAAGTATTTTGCAAAACCCTAAACTACCAACTCAAACTGGGGAGGAGTGGTTATGGGTTATCCGAGCGAAATGTCAAGGCAATTAGTTCCAATCGACTCGCACCAGATACAAATACATACTTTGCTCTGTGTCGATCTTTTTCTTGAATAGCCTGCTCTGTGGCAGTCCGCAAGAGGTTGTTTGAGAGAGTGAGACACATAATGCCTTTGATGCCACATGTGTGTGTTTTTGCTTTTATGATTCTGTGTGCTACTTAAATTTCATGGAATTGTTTGTCTGTCTTGTTGCTTTTAATGAGCCATTAAAATGTTTAGGGCATTGTAGTACATTTAGCTCAACAAAAAAGTTTATTTTTATTTTTATTTTAGAGGAGGTTTTTTGTGGGAGGCATTTATTCATATTATGTATTATATTATATTATTTATATACATATATTATTTGTACTTTGTTATTTCTAACAATAACTTTAATATTTATTTATTTTTCTACTTTTAGGTAAGTTTTGGTTCCAATTTACATCTTTCGTAGAAGTAAACTTCACACATTTGTAAGTAAATATTGAAATGGTAAAACCTTTTAGGCCAAACCCCTTAATTTGGTCAGCCAACAGGGGATTAGATCATCCGAAAAGCGTCACAGAGCTGGCAAAGAGGAAGTATTCCTCGATATATTATTTTGTAGTACATTTTGTCACACAAACTCGATCCAACCGACACGAGTCTCTGCTGTCGGGTTGCTTCATTTGCCAACTCATTAAACACAATTAGTCGTGTGTTCTCATAACCAGTTTCCATGCCAAATCCTTCAACTAATTGGCTGAAACTGAGAAACCAAAGAACCAAAGGAATTATCTACCTGTGTGCCTGCCGCCCCAATTCATAATTCATACATCAGTTCTGAGAACTGACGAATGTGTGGACACAATATTTCATAAATGTCTGGCTTCCTTTTGGGGTTTGATTTCGTTTCGTTTCGTTTCGTTTCAAACACACCAAAATGCACAAAAAACATAGCAGAAGATACAATTAACCTTCAGGTTCAGGTTCACTTTGGCTGTTGAGCTGAATTGTATTTTTTCTGTTGTCTTTTTGGTTGCGCAAATACAACGTACGACAGCAACGCTGACAGCAGCAGTAACAGAAAACAGCAACAGCGACAGTCACAGGCCACAACGACAGCGACTCGCGTTTGTATCTAAAATCAACAAGTTCACGACGACACAGGCACAACAACCACCAGAACCACAACTACAGAAAGATAAAAAACTTTTAAGCGTCAGGCAAATAGACAAAATGATACCCAAAAAACCACCAACACCGATACTAATACCCGCAAATGCCCCACAATCCCCGCCACCCCATTCATTGCCAGACGTTTGCTAAGAAGGCAAACAGAGAAACCCCAAACCCCAAAGCCCAAAGGCGAACCTCTGGCAAACCCCATTTGAGTGACAAGTCGAACCAGATAATTCACTCGCTTACTCAATGCCTTAAACTTCTGTCTCAGTAGATAATCTACCATATCGATATCTATATATCTATCAAACCAAAAACCACAACAAGAAATACCCTTAGCAAATGAATTCTCGTGTATTCTCTTTAAAATTTTTCACTTGTGCTACTCTACCTCAATCTATATCCATATGTATATCTCAAGGAGCTTTCACCCCGACACTCAAAGAGTGACGCAAATGAGAGCTCCTTGTGTGTTTGTGGCGCTGATGATGTCGTTACTTAGCCATGGGACATGGACACACGGCACCACTAATGGAGGCATTCGATTACTCCAGTGAGTAATGGCATTGGAAATCGATCCTACATCGAATTGGATTTCGTATATTCGTACTTTTAATCGCAATTCAATACGACTCGCATTTGGGTTGCCTCCGTAATGGAATACCATGCCAAATATTTCGACTTCAAGTTACAGCCAGAAACAAAGTCAAGTTGGGAGGGTCAGAAATTCACGGGTTGGTTGTGGGGTTTCTTTTTATTGTGTGTGGAGTGGGAGAACCAAATAAAATGAATGATCCTCCAGCCAGTATTTATCCCTTCTTGCTCTCTTCTTTGGCTGTGGCCTCGGCCAACACCAATGTCTCAATCTTCTTGAGGCTCTCCTCGATATTGCGCCGCTGCTGCTCCTCCTCCTCGACCAGCTTGGCTTCCTCCACACTTGACTTGGCTTTGACCTCCGTCTCGGCTGCGCTGTCGCCCGCAGTGCGTCGCCCCATTGGCAGGCGCGTCACCATATGCGGTGGCACGCGGATGCCCGCCCCTATGCGGTTCTCGTTCTTGTACTGCCCCACTGCCCGGACAAAGGGCTTCAGTGGACAGCCCCTGGCCTGGGCCTCATCCATCAGCTGGTGGGCATAGTCGAAGAAGAAGGCATCCTCGCGCAGACACTCCAGCTGCGCCTCCCGATTGTAGTTGGTCTCGGGTCGTGTCTCCTCCTCGTGCCGCTGCCTCACTTGCTCGTCCAACTGCTGGCGCAGCTGCCGCACCCGCTGGAGCTGCTCCTGGCGCTGCTGCCGCTTGAACTGCACGTGGACGAGGTCGTTCTTCAGCCGACGATCGATGGCATCGCTTTTGTCAGCCTCTGCCTGCTGTTTGGCGGCCTGGGCCAGCTGCTCCTCCTCCCGCTGGATGGCCAAACGAGAGTTTTTGGCTTGCTCGCGACTCTGGCGACGCTTGGCCTGCTCTGCACTGTGAGCCTTTTGCATTTCCACCAGCTGGCGCTTGTGGCGCGCCTCATCCTCGCCAGCGCTGTAGTGGAGGCGAGGAGCCAGCAACTGGGCGAGCTTCTCGTTCCGCTGAATGCGTTTCTGGACGCGGTTGCGTGCCCGATCCTGCTTCATCTGCTCCAGGCGTCCCTTTGCCTCGTTGTGGATATCGCACTGCACCTGCTCCACCTCCTCCAGCATGAGAAGGCGCTGATGACGCTGCTCCGCCATGGCCAGCGAGGCGAGAGCCTCCTCCCGCTTCTGGCGCCGCCTGGCAGCCACCATCTCTTCCTCCTTGTGCTGCTGCTCCCTTAACTGCCGTTGGTTCCTCTCCCGCTCCTGACGTGCCTGCTCGTACTCTTCAGCCTTGAGCGCCTGACGCTCCCTCTCCCGCTCTGCAATGGCACCGAGCAGCTCCTGCTTGTGCTCCCGTAGTTGCTGGCAGCGCTCGGACCGACGCCGCTGGGTATCGTCAATCCCGTTGAGCACCTGCTCTTGGTATATGCGCCTGTCCTGCTCCGCCTTCTGCTCCAGAGCTTGGGCAAACACCACCTGCACTTCTCGCTGGGCTTGGACACTGCGCAGCACCTCGCTCTGCAGTCGGGCACACTGCAGCTCCCGCGGCCCCGGACGCAGTTCCTCCAGCAGCTTCTTGGCTGCCGCTATGCGCTCCTTCTGCGTGCGCTGTGCCTCCCGTCGAGCGGCTGCAGCCTCCTCCTCCGCCAGTCGCTTGGCCTCCAGCTCCTGTTCCCGCTGCTGCTGCAGCTCTCTCCGGCACTCCTCCGCCTTTGTGATGACCAAATTTTTGCCACCAAACTGACGTAGCAGCTCCTCCCCGCCGATACGCAGCTGCTCCTCTGCTTGCTCACGCAGCTGGAGGCGGTACAGCCGCTCCTGCTTGGCTGCCTGGCTGGCATTTGCCTGGATGCTGGCAAACCGCTTGTTGGAGATGACCAAGGGCGGCTTCTCACGGATAATTACCTCACGACGCTCCTGCGGCAACCAGGAGTACTGCATAGCAAGGGGATTAGCTTAGAACTAACATTGAATGGATTTTTCTTTTGTTGTTTGTTGATGTGTTTCCATGGCAAGGATTGGGGAGTAGCAGTCCCCGGGGTTTGCAGGTTGTCAGTAGATTGTTTGGAACTGGGACTACCGAGTATCTATGGAATGAAATCCAACAAATGAAGATATCACCACTCATACGATGCCAAAAATGTTGCAACGAAATGCCAAAACAGAAATTGTCGACATTTTAAATAGTTTATTTTAATTAATTAGTGTTTTTCGTGTGCGACAAATGTCAACGCAAATGGCCAGCATTTTGGACTGGCCAGCTCGTTTGGATGGCTTAATTATGTCCAAAAGTTATGTTGCAGACAACAGCAACAAGTGACAGGTTTCGTGATAAAGATTGGCTGATGCTTTTAGCCAATTACAGTGTTTGCCATACCAATGCCCCCTCCTAATACTCATAGCCATACCCATAATACACGTAATGCCCGTAATGTGTGCTGTACACTGGTCCGAACGGATCCGAACTGATTGAATCTGGTTTGAGGTTGTCAGTAAATTCCAAAATTAATGTGGAAGCACAAGCAAACCCTAAAAGGGCACGCTTCATTTGCTTCCGCTACCTCAAGAGCCCTTAGATTAATTTAATTAACACTTGACTGCGAATAGAAACCACAATGAATACTTTTGAAAGCCCTACGAATATTCATGGGGCTTTGAATTGGGTCAGTGCCTCGCCTTGTACAGCGTTGGGGGTTTCTATATCTAACCAAACCCCCACTAAAAAACCTCAATGCGCGGGCGATAAAGGTGCAACCCACTTTCCACCATTAAAGTAGAATAGAACATTCAGAATAGTTGTAGAAGGTAAAGCGAGAGAGAGTGAAACGTATGAAAGTTCACTTCTAATGACCATTTGGTGTTTACTTTTTAAAGCTGAAGCTTTTAAAGATTGTTTGAATATGAAAAGGTGAATTTTTATAGATTAAACTCCACTTCGAGTGCATTTCACTTTGTAGGGCACTCTGTCATTTCACAATTCTTGTGGCAAGTGAGAAGTGGTGTACATATGACACCTTGTAGAGCAACTTAGTCACCCCCTTCGCAGCCGATTCTTATCTAATCGAAGCTTATTGATTCCCCATAGACCATTGCCTTGATACCCATGTAAATATATACGACTGGACTGCCACGGCTATCTATCTTTGCTGTCTGTCGATTTCAGATTCTACTTTGTCTTCGAGTGAGGTAGAGAGAGAGAGAGAGAGAGAGCGACACACTCGGAGCGACAGAGAGACAGCGAGACATATATCACTTGATCTTCAAGTGCGAATGACAGCAGCAGCTCCAGAGAGGCAGCAATGCCTTTCGCCTGTCCACCGCCTCTGACTACCGTCCAGCCTGAGCCTCAGCCTCGTTGTTGCTGCTTCCACTTGAATGACTTCATGTGCCCCTGTCGGAAAACTTGAAAAACTTGTCTTTGTTTTCAGACGAAGAGTCAGTGGCAGAGGCAAAGGCAGAAGCTGAAGCTGAAGCAGAGTCGGGCCATAACCACACGTACTTTAGTAGGTACTGGACTGGCACTCGAGAGATCAGAACAGAATGGCGAACACAAGAACAACGAACAACGACCGGGACAACAAATGAGTGCAACTGTTTTAGACCTGTACCTGCACTCCAGCTCCAACTCAAGACCAAACCTGGGGGACTACCAGCAGAAACAGAAAAAGAACTGAAACTGAAACAGAAGCAGAAACAGAGCAAACAGCAGTCCAGTCCCCCAGTCCACAGTCCACAGTCCCCAATGACTTCAAAGTTGACCATGTTCCTCTCTCTCTCTTCTCCTTCTTAGCTGTTCTTTGTATCTTTTACCGACCTGCACAGTGCTTTTCTCTCTCTCGATCTTTCTGTGCAGTTCCTCTTGGGCCTGGTCTGGGTCTTGGTCAGAGCAATTAACATGCAATTAAACGAAGTTTCAATCTGAAGATCCCCTGCTAAAGAGTCACTAAACACTAGAAAACATTTTATAGAGAAACTTACAGCTTCTGTAGGGCAGCTCCTGGAAGCAGAAGTTTCCCCTTTTAACGATTATAATTACAAGCTACCATTTGCTGCCTGCAAATTTTTGTGGTGTTTGTAGTGGGAAAAGTCTAACCGGAAATTAATGGAATAGTTTTTGCTTTAATAAGGAACGTGTAAATATTTTTAGATATTATATGAGCTGTGTTTTATGAGCATTTCCTTCTGGAAAGACAGTCCCATTTCTAACGCTTGGCAGATGTGACTAAATAATAGATGGCCAAGTAATAGCTGAAGTTGTTTGAAGATATTCTCGCTAAGATAATTATTTCTATCCTACATTGAAATTAATTACTCTATCCACAAGTTAATCAAATATTGTTTCCACCCTTTTCTCCTGCAACTTAACTTTAGCCGGAAAACAGAAGAATCAGAAAACATTTCCCAGAAATTTTAATCAGCTTTGTTTCGGCCCCAGAAAGGTTTTAATAAAGTAACTGAAGTCTCTGCATGATATCATCTCTATTTCGAGTGTGTCTATTCTGTAAGCACCGATTTGTAACGAATCGATGGCAAGTCTTGTCACTGATGTTGCGGCTTTGGAGCATTTATAGCCATGCTGAGAATTAACTTTGAATTGCGATTTGATTTATTAACCTGTCGGTCAAACAATTTACAAGTCAAGCAGAAATAAAGAGCCAACTATAAACCCCCCGCCCGAAATACTTTTTTGGCTTATGTCATCGTTTTGGAGTAGAAAAAAATATTCATATACAACATATTTGTCGCTTATTTCAAAATCAAATTGAAGTGAGACGCAAATTGATGTTGAGGCTTTTCAATTTAGTGGAATTGGTGAGGTTAATTCTGGCGCTGAACTCTCAATTAAATAGTTTCATTATCAATTGAAGCATTTCGATCCGCTTCGCTTCGCTCCACCCTATTCTGTTCTACAGTTGGATTTTTCTATACTTTAAAAGTATTATGTGCAGGCCTATGCTGATTTCATAGGGCGATACGAAAACGAGTACAAGTACGAGATATGTTCGGTATGTGTTGTTTGCCAACAATTTCCAACAACACATTTCAATGTCAACTCGATCACGTTTTTCGATGGCAATTTGTTGCTGGCTGGTTTTATTTTCGAATTTGATACACTCTAAAGAGCGTGGCAAATTGCCCAAGCAGCAGAGAGGGGAAGTGGGGCTAAACATGAGGTTTTACACTGGTTTTGTCGTCCATTGACAGATGGAAAAACACACACCTGCAATGCTCTTGGCTGAGCTGCTGTGATTTTGCTCTTCTCGTTGATGATCGTGTTCCATCTATAACTGAGGTTATTTTTTTGTTGCAGCCATCTGATATTACCAATAATAAGATCTCCGTTCATTGACAGACCCTAAACTGCCCAATGAGATCCAATTCAATCTGTCAGACATCAAATTCAAAATTTAAGTACCACTTACATGTAGAAATATTGCCAATATTCCATCGGAAAAAACCGAAATCAATCAATCAAAAGGCATTACACATTTACGACCAATTCTGAAGTAGAAAAACTGAAAATCAACTCAATCACACGCTCTATTTATAGCAAATTAAAAATTCAGAAAAAAACTAGAGAGAGAGAAACAAAAACTGGCACGAAATATTGGTCAAAATATTTACCAGCCACGCCCCGAAATGAAAGAAGGAATTGATTAATGATGCCAGATACAGATACTCGATAGAACGGGCCAAAGAAAGAGCCTTAAACGATACAATAAACTGATAGATTCACGAAAGAAAGACGGGAAATTAAATCTTACACACATTATAGGGTGTGGAGGAATGGGGGAGTGGGGGTTGGAAAGAAGGTGTTGCATTATGTTGAGGTATCCACTCTACTTCGATCCCACTACGAACACAACTTAGAGAGTGGCGCCCACACGTGATAGCAAACCGATACGAGCCGGGGCTGCCTCATTTTGTATGCAGCTCATCGCTGGGCTACGGACCTGGGGCACACAGTGGGGCACACAGATAGCCATCGATGGCGTCGCGTAACGCGGCGGACAAATGCTGAAAGCTTGTCAGTACCTGGGGGGATCGGGGGCTTAGTTTTCCCACATTGGATAATTTATGCAAATTTATGCCCCATTCCCAAGTGGAATGAAATATTTTATAATTTGTTTCCAACTTCTGCAACATCTCGGAGTCCGAAAAGCCGCTTTTAGTCCATTACCATAATGGACCAACAAATGGCTAGAAAAAGATCTCACCAGAAACCAGAAAGAAGCCAACGGACAAATCCCCTAATGATGTGCTAATGTCGCCAATAATATTTGACAACCAAAACAGAATTATTATGGAAACAAATTATAGAATTTTAAAATGGAATCGCTCATAGAAGACTTGTGCCATAGGGCCGTTAAGATAAAATTAAACCATAAAAGATAACATAATGATTATTGGTTTTAAGATAAAAGAATGAAGTCAAACTTTGGGCAGAAGAGCTTCAAAAAGATCATCTCTGTGAGCGTCTAAAATATACACACATAAATAGCAGACAGCATTTATTCTGCAATCAAATTTCGAATTTCTTTGGTCCTCCATCTTTTTCTCTGTGTGAATTTCGCATAACCAGAATTGATTTTAGCACATTAACAACTTTAAAAAACAATTAAGATAGCAACGTAAATTGATGTTTAAGCATTGAATTAGCAATTCAAATTTATTTGAGATTTATTAGCAAACAGCAGAAGCAAGACACCGCAAAAACCAAGAAGTCCAGAACTCATCTCCAAATCTGAGATATTTCAATATATATTCCTTGAAGGTTCAAACACTAAATATTGCTTGGAGTTGGAAAACTGAGTAGTTAATTTAAGCGGCGCTTGTTTTGTTTAAAGAAATTCGAATCCCAAATGAGCCACTTAATTTCGTTTAATTAATTTCTATCTAATTTTTAAAATCCCAAAAACAAAGCCGCACCGCGACTAGCG